TCTTAATGGTGTCTTTTGACCAGCAAAAGGTTTGAATTTTGAAGTACATTTTATCGATTTTTTTCTTCTATATATTGTGCTTTTGGTATCATGTCTAATAAATCTTTACCAAACCCACAGTTACAAATATTTTCTTCTGTCTTCTTTTTATACTTTTTACAGTTTTACAGTTTTAGCTCTAACAATAAATGTCATTTTGAACACACATAAGTCTATTTGTAACCAATACAAATAAATTGAATTTTTGGACACTTGTATTTGCATTTTTAATTTTATTATCTATTGCCAAATTTCACTTTATAGCAGTTGTAAACACAACACACATACACACAAGTATATATATATGACACAAGTGTGTGTGTGTATATATATACACACACAGGTATGACAGGGTCTTGCTCTGTTGCTCAGGCTGGAGTGCAGTGGCATGACATTGGCTCACTGCAGCCTCGACTGCCCAGGCTCAAGCAATTCTCCTACTTCAGCCTCCTGAGTAGCTGAGATTTCAGGCGTGTGCCACTATATCCAGCTAATTGTTTAATTTTTTTTTATATAGAGACAGGGTCTCACTATGTTGCTCAAGCCAGTCTCAAACTCTTGGGGTCAAGTGATCCTCCCACCTCATCCTCCCAAAGTGCTGGGATTACAGGTGTGAGCTACTGTGCCCAGCCAGGTTGTACCAATATATACTACCAATAACAATAAACAAAAGTGCCTGTTATTCCACACATGTTCCAACAGTGTATTATTAACCTTTTGAATCATGCCAACCTAAATGGCCTCTCACTATAATTTTAGTTTACATTTTTCTTATTAAAAATTGGAGGCTGGGTGTGGTGGCTCACACCTGTAATCCCAGCACTTTGGGAGGCCAAGGCGGGCGGATCACCTGAGGCCAGTAGTTCAAGACCAGCCTAGCCAACATGGCGAAACCCTGTCTCTACTAAAAATACAAAAAATAAGCTGGGTGTGGTGGTGGGTACCTGTAATCCCAGCTACTCAGGAGGCTGAGGCAGGAGAATTGTTTGAACCTGGGAGGTGGAGGTTGCAGTGAGCCGAGGTCACACCACTGCACTCCAGCCTGGGCGACAGAGCAAGACTCCGTCTCAAAAAAAAAAAAAAAAAAAAAATAAAAAAAAAACTATTTTAAGTAAATCCTTACGTACGGAAAAGTGAATCACAAGCATACAGCTCAAAAAAAAAAAAAAAATTCACAGAGCAAACACACCCATGCAGTCAGCACATAATTTAAGAAAGACAATATTACCAATGCCATGGAAGCTCTCCTGTGGTCACTTCCAGCCACTACCCATCCTCAAGAGTGAGCATTGTCCTGACTTCTAACAACAAGGATTAACTTTGCTTCTTTTTGTTCTTTCTTTAAGTGGACTCATATACTAAGTATTCTTGTGAGTAGCTTCTTTCACTCAACAACATGATTATGTGCTTTATCCATACTCTTGTGTGTATATAAAACTCTTACTGTTATTCAGTATTCTATTTCGTGAATATAACCCAATTTATTATGCATTCTACCTTGTGTGGATTCTGTTTCTTTTTTGTGCAGCTTCAGACAAGCAGACTCTGTTGCCCAATGACCAGCTCTACCAGGTAAGGGGATGAAGAATAAAAGAGATATTGCTGTAATTAGAGGGGGTCAATCTTTGGGAATGAGGGGCATGTTATTTGGAAGATCCTATACAGGTAAGAAACTGCTAACAGCATACCAGATGATGAGATTACTTTGGGTAGAATAGATGAACTAAAGAGAAGGATTGACAGAGACTGAGGTCAGGATCTAGTGAGCACCAGTTGAAGAACACACTGAGAGGGACACACAAAGAAACTCTTGACAGGCCGGGCACTCACTATAGACAGGCCATGGCTCATGCCTGTAATCCCAGTACTTTGGGAAGCCAAAACAGGCGAATCACCTGAGGTCAGGAATTCGACACAAGCCTGACCAACCTGACGAAACTCTGTCTCTACTAAAAACAAAAAAAAAATTAACTGGGCATGGTGGTGCACACTTGTAGTCCCAGCTACTCAGGAGGCTGAAGCAGGAGGACCACTTGAACCCAGGAGGTCGGGGTTGCAGTGAGCTGTGGTTGCACCACTGCACTCCAGCATGGGCAACAGAGCAAGACTCCATCTCAAAAAAAAACAGAAAAAGAAAAAGAAAAGAAAAGAAAAAAGACAGAGCCTCCATCTCCTTTTCCTCTTTCCATCCTCAGGACCATGAAGTACTACCCACTCCAAACTCTCACATATAAAAAGCATTCAATAAACATGCATCAAATTAATTAATAAAGGATGGAAAAAATGACCTTATGACTGTGCTGTCCTTTCCAGCCCCTCAAGGATCGAGAAGATGACCAGTACAGTCACCTTCAAGGAAACCAGTTGAGGAGGAATTGAACTCAGGACTCAGAGTAGGTGAGTTCTTCAATGCCGGTTCTAATAAAGGACCCTTGCATCAACTGCCCTCCCAATTGCTTCTAAGTCTAGCTCCCTTCCCTAAGTGGCTATAAGGATCAGACTCTGGGGATCAGGGATTGGGAGGTGGCTTGGGGTACTCTTTTCTAAAAATTCTGGGGCCATCCTGATTGTCTTGGCCTAGGAAAATATGAATTTTAAGTATCTGTAAATCCTGTCAGAGTAGGGCCTCAAGCCATAAAGATGCTGAATATTAATCTTAACCTACATTAAAATTTCTCATTATCTATACCATTAACATTTTGGGCTAATAATTATTTGTGATGAGGGGCTAACCTGTGCATTGTAGGAGTTATGGAAGCATCCCTGGCCTGTCTCCACCAGATGCTGGTAGATTGTCCAGTGTGACAATCAAAAATGTGTCCAGACATTACCAAATGTGTCCAAACATCACCTTGAGGGCAAAATCACCCCTGGTTAAGAACCACTAACCTATATTAACCTTCCAATCAACAAGTCAATCTGTCAGAAGTTACAATTCAATTAATCTATCTGAGGTTTCTATCAGGAAGACAGGGTTGAAAGCATTATTTGGTTTTTTTGAACCAATTGCAATTTTTCTTTTTTTAATCCAGGTGTTCTCCTTCTATTCAGTTCCCAGAATCAAAGCAATGCATTTTGGAAAGCTCCTAGCAGAGAGACTTTCAGCCCTAAATCTAGACTCAAGGTTCCCAGAGGTGACAAATGGAGAAGAAAGGCCATCAGAGCACATTTGGGGTTTTCTCAAATAAAATAAAAATAAAAACAAGTATGGTGTTTCAGAAGCGCCACCTATTGGAGAAAATTGTAAAAGAAAAATGAAAAGATCAAATAACCCCCAAGATTTGATATAATTTTTTGTGTTGTGATTTTTATTTCATTTTTGTATAGACCATAATTCACATGGCTCAAATATTCAGTGAAAGATCTCCCTCCACCACCATCCCCTGCGACCTAGTTGCCCTCTTCAGAGACATACTGTTTCTCTTTTTTTTTTTTTTTTTTTTGAGACAGTCTTGCTCTGTCGCCCAGACTGAAGTGCAGTGGCACTATCTGGGCTCACTGCAACCTCCGCCTCCTGGGTTCAAGCGATTCTCCCGCCTCAGCCTCCCGGGCAGCTGGGATTACAGGCGCCACCACCACACCCGGCTAATTTTTGAATTTTTAGTGGAGCCAGGGTTTTGCTCTATTGGCCAGGCTGGTCTGGAATTCCTGACCTCAAGTGATCCGCCCGCCTCGGCCTCCCTAAGTGCTGGGATTACAGGTGTGAGCCACCACGCCCAATCTTAAAACTAGCTCCTTATATATCTCTCTGGAGGTATTCTAGGCATATATGAGCACATTCTCAAATACCTACTGTCCTCCCTTCCCCTATCTTTTAGACAAATGATATCAAATTATACATCTTGTGAGATTATTGCATACCATTATATGAAGAACTGATTTTTAATACAGCCATATTGTACAAATAGACTATGATTTATTTAACCCATTATCTATCAATGGATATTTAAGTTGGTTCCAATCTTTTGCTCTTACAACAATTCTGCAATGACTAACCTTGTGAAATATCATTTTTAAAAATAATTGCATTGAAGCATAATTTACATGCCATTAAATCCACCCGTCTTAAGTGATTTCACCTGTTCTCATAAAGTTTTAGTAAATTTAAGTAATTGTACAACCATTACCATAATCCGGCTTTAGGACATTTTCTTTTCTTTTTTTTTTCTTTTTTCTTTTTTTTTTGAGATGGAGTCTTGCTCTGTGGCCCAGGCTGGAGTGCAGTGGTGCAATCTCAGCTCACTGCAACCTCCACCTCCCAGGTTCAAGCAATTCTCTTGCCTCAGCCTCCCCAGTAGCTGAGACTACAGGCACGCGCCACCATGCCCGGCTCATTTTTTTGTGTATTTACTAGAGACAGGGTTTCACCATGTTGGCCAGGCAGGTCTCGAATTCCTGACCTCAAATGATCTGCCTCCCTCGGCCTCCCAAAGTGCTGGGATTACAGGCGTGAGCCACCGGGCCAGGCCCGTAACTGTATTTTAATACAGCTAGTCTATGGGTTTAATATGGTATTTTATTATGGTCTTAATTTGCATTTCCCTAGAGACTAACCATGCTGAGTATTCTTTCATGTGTTTATTAACCATTCATATATTTTTAGTGAAATGTCTATTGAAATCTTTTGCCCATTTTTAAGTTGGCTTATTTGTCTTCTTTTTTTGCATATATTTTTGATATAAGTCCTTTATCAGATATATGATTTGGAAATATTTTCTACCAATCTATGGTTTGTTTTTCTTAATGGTGTCTTTTGACCAGCAAAAGGTTTGAATTTTGAAGTACATTTTATCGATTTTTTTCTTCTATATATTGTGCTTTTGGTATCATGTCTAATAAATCTTTACCAAACCCACAGTTACAAATATTTTCTTCTGTCTTCTTTTTATACTTTTTACAGTTTTACAGTTTTAGCTCTAACAATAAATGTCATTTTGAACACACATAAGTCTATTTGTAACCAATACAAATAAATTGAATTTTTGGACACTTGTATTTGCATTTTTAATTTTATTATCTATTGCCAAATTTCACTTTATAGCAGTTGTAAACACAACACACATACACACAAGTATATATATATGACACAAGTGTGTGTGTGTATATATATACACACACAGGTATGACAGGGTCTTGCTCTGTTGCTCAGGCTGGAGTGCAGTGGCATGACATTGGCTCACTGCAGCCTCGACTGCCCAGGCTCAAGCAATTCTCCTACTTCAGCCTCCTGAGTAGCTGAGATTTCAGGCGTGTGCCACTATATCCAGCTAATTGTTTAATTTTTTTTTATATAGAGACAGGGTCTCACTATGTTGCTCAAGCCAGTCTCAAACTCTTGGGGTCAAGTGATCCTCCCACCTCATCCTCCCAAAGTGCTGGGATTACAGGTGTGAGCTACTGTGCCCAGCCAGGTTGTACCAATATATACTACCAATAACAATAAACAAAAGTGCCTGTTATTCCACACATGTTCCAACAGTGTATTATTAACCTTTTGAATCATGCCAACCTAAATGGCCTCTCACTATAATTTTAGTTTACATTTTTCTTATTAAAAATTGGAGGCTGGGTGTGGTGGCTCACACCTGTAATCCCAGCACTTTGGGAGGCCAAGGCGGGCGGATCACCTGAGGCCAGTAGTTCAAGACCAGCCTAGCCAACATGGCGAAACCCTGTCTCTACTAAAAATACAAAAAATAAGCTGGGTGTGGTGGTGGGTACCTGTAATCCCAGCTACTCAGGAGGCTGAGGCAGGAGAATTGTTTGAACCTGGGAGGTGGAGGCTGCAGTGAGCCAAGATTGCACCATTTGCACTCTAGCTTGGGCAACAAGAGTGAAACCCCATCTCAAAAAAAAAACTGGAGTAAACCATTTGTTTTTCCTTCTCATGATATGTAAGTTCACATCTTTGGTCTTTTTCTTACTGACTTACACTAACCCGTTACATATTTGGGAAACTAGGTCTTTTGTGATATTAGTTGCAAGTCTTTTTCCAACTTTATGTGTTTTTTAACTTTGCTTATGGTTAGTTTTTCATGCACACTTTATAAATATTTGCATGTAGTAGAATTCACTGGTCTCTTATGACCTCTAGGTTATGTTTCATATTTAGAAAGTCTTCCTCCATTTTAAAATTATCCTTTTTTAAAAGTTCCCCCATGAATTCCTCTAGTATTTTTATGGTTTTATTTTATGCATTTACATCTTTGACCCATCTTGAATTGATGTTAGCATCAGATCTAATGTAGTAACCAACTTTAAATACAGATAGTTACCCAGTTATTCCAAAAGTATTATTGAATGATTCATCTTGTGACCATTAATTTTAAATGCTGTTACAACCCAACTTACCAGATTATAAGCTCCAAGAAGGAAAAGACTTATATTTTTTCACTACGGTATCTTTAGGAACTGTAACAGTGGTAGGCACATTAAGATTGCCCAGGGCTTTTTGTGTGTGTGTGGTAAAACATATATAACCTAAAATTTACCATTTTAATCTTTTTCTTTTTCTTTTTCTTTTTTTTTTTTTTTTTTTTGAGACAGAGTCTCACTCTGTCATCTAGGCACTCTAGTGCAGTGGCACAATCTCAGCTCACTGCAACCTCTGCCTCCCGAGTTCAAGTGATTCTCCTGCCTCAGCCTCCCAAGTAGCTGAGATTACAGGCGCACATCAACACACTCAGCTAATTTTTGTATTTTTAGTAGAGACAGGGTTTCACTATGTTGGCCAGGCTGGTCTCGAACTCCTGACTTCAAGTGATCTGCCCACCTCGGCTTCCTACAGTGCTGGAATTACAGGCATGAGCCACTGCACCCAACCCCATTTTAACTATTTTTAAATGTACCATTCAATGGTATTAAATATATCCACAATGTGTAGCCATCATCACTACCCATTTCAGAACTTTTTCATCATCCTAAACAGAAACTTGGTACCCATTAGAAAATAACTCACATTCCCCTCTCACTCCAATCCCTGGTGACCTCTATTATACTTTCTCTCTCAAGGAACGTGCCTATTCTGGGTACCACATATAAATTGAATCAAACAGTATTTAGTCCTTTCTGTCTGGCCCATTTCACTTAGCATAACGTTTTCAAGGTTCATCAGTGTTTCAGCATGTATCAGAACTTCATTCTTTTTCAAGGCTGAATAAGTCATCTGTAGCTATATACCATATTTTGTTTATGCATTCGTCTGTTGATGGACATTCTGGGTTGTTTCCACCTTTTGGTTATTATGAATAATGCTACTGTAAACATAGGTATACAAGTATCTAAGTTCCTGCTTTCAGTTATTTTGAACATCTATGTCAAAGCGGAATTGCTTGATCACATGGTTATACTATGTTTAACTTTTTGAGGAATCATCAAACTGTTTTTCCAAAAAGTCTGGACTATTTAACGTTGCCATGAGCAATGCATAGGGTTTCCATTTCTCCACATCTGCCAACAATTACTTTCCTTTTTTTATATATAATAGCCATCCTAGTAGGTATTACGTTTTATTCTCATTTCCCTAAAGATGAGCGATGTTGAGCACTCTTTCATATGCTTATCCACAATTTGTACAGTTGGCCTTCCATATATGTGGACTCCATCTATGGATTCAACCAACCATGAATTGGAAATATTCCAAAACAAATTTCATCTGTACTGAACATGTACAGACTTTTTGCCATTATTCCCTAAACAATACAACACTATTTAGATTTACATTGTATTAGGTATTATAAGTGATCTAGAGATGACTTAGTCATCTCTAGGATGACACAGGAGGATGTGCATAGTTTATATGCAAATACTGCATCATTTTGTATAAGGAACTTGAGTATCCATGGATTTTGGTACCCAGGGGGTCCTGAAACAAATCCCCCACAGATACCAAGTGGATAGTTATTCTCTTGGAATGTATCTTCTTTGGAGAAATGTCTATTCAAGTCCTTTGCCCTTTTTTGAACTGAACTGTTTGGGGTTTTTTTGTTCTTGTAGTTCTTTATATATTTTAGATATTAATCCTTTATCAGATATATGAGTTGCAACTATTTTCTCTCATTCTGTGAATTTTCACTTGCACAGCGCTTTTAACTCTTGAAAATTATTTCCTTTATTATTTATGTGTATCCTGATCTCTTGCCCTCGTGATCCGCCTGTCTCGGTCTCCCAAAGTGCTGGGATTACAGGCGTGAGCCACTGTGCCCGGCCATTTATGTGTATCTCAAAAACAACCTTGTAGGATGTATACCGTCTCCACTTCACAGAGAAGAAAACTGAAATCCAATCAAAGATAGCACACTCCAAAGACTGCTCCGAAGACAGCACAAAAACAAACTTTTAGTTGTTATTGCTATTAGTGTCATCCCTTTGAATAATAGAGAGTAACAGAAGCTGCTTCAAAAAGGTATAGGACTGGTGGGAAAATAAGAGAGCAGACCCTCAACAGAG